AGTCTTTCTGTGTAGTGGGTTATTTATTATTCATCCATAAAGCTAAATGAAGTATTCCTGTCGTACTGGCATGTGCAGGAATCATGAAGACAATGCAGTACGTGAACAGGATAAAATACTGCATGCTTCTACTTCGAGGATACAACCATTATAAACAAATTCCTAGAGACGTGAGTCAGATCAGAGATTAGCAATGCCGTGGGGAGCGGAAGTGGGGAGTTACTGCTTAATGCGTACAGAGCTTCTCACTGCAGTGATGAAAAAGTTTCCAGAACAAGACACTGAGAAGGCTCAAACGTACCTTTCATTGTAATCAGGAGAGACAAGGCATCCTATTGAGTTGGTTTTCTAAGGTGATTTTAAAAAAAACCCCCACAAACACCACCATGAGTGACAATGGACAAGATAGACCATAAAATATGACATCCTGTGGAATCGAGTACCACACTCCACTGTCCTGTCCATGGTTATCCTGACCGGGTAGAGGATCTTTCTAGATCTGTTAAATGAGATCAGCTCACTCAGTGAGGAAAAAAGGATGTTGTTGTTATGTGCCTTCGAGTCGCTTACGACTCATAGCGTACCTAGGTACAATAGCTCCGAACCCTGCCCTATCCTGAGCCAACTTTATTGTCTCAGACACACTTACCCCCATTACCCCAGTCACTGAGTAAATCAATCTCATCGTAAGGATTCCTCTCTCTTGCATTGTCCCTCCCCCCTCCCAAGCATGATGTCCCTCTCCAAGGTCTGATCCCTCCTTGCAACATGCCCAAAGTACGTCAGAAGAAGCTTCAGAATCCTTGCTTCCAAGGAACAGCCTGGTTTAACCCTCTCCCGGATGAACCTATTCGTTTTCTTAGCATTCCATGGTATATTCAATACTCTTCTCCAGCACCGCAACTCAAAGGCATCAATTCTCTTTCTATCCTCCCTAGTCATTGTCCAGCTCTCTGACACATAGCAAGTGATTGCAAAGACCATGGCCTGTATCAGGTGCACCTTAGTTTCCAGAGTGACGCCATTGCTCATCAGAACTTTGGAGAGGTCCCTAACAGCCGACTTCCCTTCCCCTCATAATACGTCTTTTAATTTCCTGGCTGCTGGTGCCAACAGTGTTGACTGTGGAGCCAAGCAAACTAAAGCTGTGAACAGTGTCAGTCTCTTCACCATCCATCCTGATGCTGCCAATTGGACCAGTGGTGAGAACCTTTGTGTTCGTTACTAGTCTTAATATTTCAAATTCTGAATCAGATCACCTGTAATGTTTGTGGTTCATGTTCAGAACCTTGGCTTGCAGGGATCAGAACTTTGGTGGACGTTTTATCCTCTTTCTGAGTAATTCCTTTTTTAATGACCAATAAAGTGAGAGATCTAGTTGTTAGAGGCTAGTCTACCTCTCTAAGTGAAAAGGCTTTTTAAATCTCTTCTGATTTTGAAGCAATTCCAGGTACCTTCTATCATTCGAAATGAAAAGTAATTGGTGGTAGAGGTGGTTTTCAGGGGCGGAAACCAAGGCTGTCAGGTATCACACACAGACAGCTAGCTAGTGGAGGCACAGAGATTTGCAACCACCTGATGAGAACTCTAGATGATCCTTTTTGCATTCCAAACAATCGTCTTTGTATGAGACTTCCTCAATCTTATTCTCCCTTCTCTCCCCCTGCATTGTGTATTGTCAAATCAGATCTGATGGGCACAGGAATGGATTTCCCTTCCTCCTCCAGCAAAGCATCTGGTGGATTCGAACTGCGTGCCTTCGGGATTCCAGTACAGCTTCTTGCCACTAGGCCACCACAGCTCCATTCTTATTCTTAAGAATGTGTACAAAATAGGTGACCCTGGAGGACATCATGCTGAGTGAAATATTTCAGTCATGAAAGGACAAATACTGCATAATGCCACTGTTGTAAAGCAGGACTGACATCTGGATTGGGGGGGAAACCCAAGAAAAGGGGAGAAAAATAATGTATACTGCATTGAAACAGATGAGGGAGAGAACTGTTTAAAAGGGATACAGGATTCGGTATTATTTTCATGATAAAACTACAGAAAAAGAAATGCGTAGTAAAGTGGACTGTGGATTTGGGGGGATTACATAACAATGAAATATTTTTTCTTTTCAAAGAGAAAAACAAACTGGGGGGTGTGGGCAAGGAGGAAAATATGCAATAATGAATGAAGGGGGAAAAAACAAATGGAAAGAATATGCTGTAAAATATACATGTGCCATTTAAAAAAACATTAATAAAATGCAAAAATAAGGAATGTTTCTGTTCCTTTCTCTCTCCTTCCTTTCATTCTAAAAATTTTTTTAATAAAATTTTATTAATTTTAATGAACATTTACAGAGATTTTGGGTTTTCATTCATTCATTGTTGCACTGTTTTCTCTACCCTCCTCCCCAGTTTGTTAGTCTGTTTTAATTGTCCAATTGCCACAGTGCTTGTCAAAGCCAGTTCTGATTAATCTCCTTTGTCAGTGTGTCCTTTGCCAACATTCTAAAATTTTGCAGGACTTCATGGAGAGACCTAGTGAGCTGATCGGACAAACCACATCTTTAATCCCACCTCTGACATCTACTAGGGTTGGTACAGCAGACATCTCTGCAGTGTCTCTCTTTGTTTCTTTGCAGAGTTAAGGTGATACAGTGGCAAAAGTTACTTATAGGTGAAGAGTAAAGAAGATTACATGTGAAAAACATGCAGCAGCACCTTCTCAAAGCTTGCTTTGCTTCTAACAATTGGAACCTCCTCTCAGAAACAAGAGGTTGTTGTAAGGATTCATTCAATTAATATCATAAAAATGTAAGTCAGCATTTGACACATAGTACCTGTTATTTGGAAGCCGGAGTGGCACCCACTTCCTCAACAACATGCCTCTGTAAATTCTGTGAGCTTTGAGAAATGACTATAGTTATAGAAAAGCTTTAGGTCTTTTGTTCATAGGGTCATTAAGAGTCATGCTCGACTCAATGAAAAACAACAAAGTTGTGCACCATCCTGTCAGAACCGACCCTTAGCTGACACTCTGGTGGGTTTTCAGAGGCAAATAGTTAATCACAAGGGAGCAAATTGCTCAGCCTTCTCCCGCAGAGCAGCTGGTGGCCTCGAACTGTGTGCCTTCGGGATTGCAGTACAACTTCTTGCCACTAGGCCACCAGAGCTCCCTCCTAGTACCTAAGGGTTTTGTGGGGAGGTTTTTTGTGTGCTTTTTTTAAATTATGCACAACTTGCAGATGACAAAACGCAGACTTCAGAGGGTTTAGGTTCATTGCTAAAAGTCACTCTATATAATAAGAGACAGACTTTGTCAAATTCAAGGACTTGTCTGCCAAGCCATGCACACAGGTGAGCCACCCCATCCAGCAGCTTCTCACCATGAGAAGCTTTTGAACTCTTGAAGAATAGACTGTAAGAGTAAGACATCCATCAGACTTTAACTTGGGAGGGGCTGGAGAGCATTAGGCTCATTGAACTAACTCAGTCCCATAAGGACAAATACTGACCATTATTGCAGACATAGATAACTAGTAAAATGTGTATGAGAATCCAAGGAGGGGGAAGGGTAAGAGTAGAGGGGGAGCATGGGCAGGGGGGTTAATGATAGGGTCGCACAATTTGATGAGTAGAGAGGGGGTGGGTAAAGGCAATGAGAAAGATTCAATATGAAAAACAATGTATATGACCTTTCTA